TAAAAGGGTAAGCATTAGTTTTGTGTCACGTGAGATGCAAACACATGAGCTTCAGTAATGGAAACAGCCGTTCACTTCTGATGAACCCATAAACACAACAAACTCTGAAACATGAGGGGAAAAGCTGCAGATTGCAGAGCTAAATTAATGAATGCTTTCACATAGTCTCATTTCCTCAAAACCATCACTTAATTTCACCTGTGATCTTGACAACAATAAATTTTTTATGATATTACTTTCTGTATTTCTTGAAAATGTAAAAAAGTACAAAAAAAGTACAAGTTTCAAAGCAGCTTTACAGAAAATCATGATGTTAATGTTAATATAGTTTAACATCTTTTTGTACTATTTGCCGTGTTTCCCTGTAAAAAATGCATAAAATTCCTTAAAACAAGATCAATTTATTTTAAAACCAGAATTTCACAAGAAAATAAGACTTGTTTTTCAGATAACATTTCTTTAGTTAAAGTAAATTTTTTTGTTCCTTTGGTGAAATAGGTTTTCTGTGAGAATCAGGGTTATGTTACCTGATAACTAATACTTTAATAAAATAAATAAATAAAAATCGAATAAAATAAAAATAAAAAAAATAAAAGGAAATGCATATATTCATGTACTAAAATAACTAAAACTGAAATAAAAAAAGCTAATAAACAAAAAAATTACTAAAATTAAATTACAAAAATACAAAAATAAAAAGTATTTCTATGATACTAAAATAACCCCAGTGAGATTTCTGCGTAACAAACCAACACAGTAAAACAAATATACATAATTGAAGACATATTCTCTGAAAACAAGGCTAATCATCTCATGCGATTCTGCTTCTCCAGTAAATTGATCCTGTTATTAAGGCTGTTTAAACGCAGCCAGACAAGAGCTACTGATGGAGTAAATGAGTAAAGGCGTCCAGATAACACTGAATCTCAGCAGAGACGCTTCACGAGCCATTTGCTCAATCTGCTGCGGAGTCTGAGCGTAAAACACACTGGATGTTAAAGCAGCGACTACCGCTCAAGAAACACTGTGTGGTCTGATTCCATCAGACTCCTGCGACGACCGGCAGGACATTTTACTGGAAACGAGACGCCGAACGCCGCTGCTGTAAATCCAGACGCAGAGGAAGGAGTTTCACCAAACGGGAGAATGAAACAGGCTTCCAGTGAAAGAGAGAGATTTATCTGGTTGGGCCGAGCTTGTGTCTTACCAATAAAGATGGCAGATGTGAATATGCTGTGTGCTATGAAAATCTGGAATCTATATATATATATATAATTAAACTTATATAACTTAAAAACTTATTTTATTTCAGCTAGCTTCCTAGACAATATTTCTCACTTCTTGATCTCAGTTCTTGAATCTTAAATTTTTATTTAGTTTAATTTGATGTACTAAAATAACTAAAACCAATTAAATTAAAATTAATAACAACTATTTAGACGTTTAACTGTGGTAATAAAAATGACAAAAACACACAACAAAATTACTAAAACTTTAACTAAAATTAAAATAAAAACAGGAAAATAAAAAATAGGGAAAATATAGGAGAAATATCTCAAATATATATATAATAAAGGAAAAATTGAATATTAATAAAAACTAAAATAACCCATAAATTCATATTCTTTAATAAGTAGCTGTATATGTTTGTATATAAACGTTTACCGGTATATATATACATATAATTATACTTATTATATAATAAAAAAATTATAATATAAATATAATATAGTTTTTTAGTATTAACTTTAAAAAGTTTTATTATTATTATTTTATTTGATCTTTTTTTGGATTTATGTGAGTTTCATATATTCACAGGCAGAATGAATTTGTTTAATTTTAAAATGAAAACAAAAAAAATACAAAAATAAAAGCTAATTGAAAATATTAAAATAACACTGTTGACTGTTGTAGATTTCAAACTGACTGATCTTTAAATATATATATATATATATATATATATATATATATATATATATATATATATATATATATATATATATATATATATATATATATATATATATATATATATATATATATATATATATATATATATATATATATATATATATGAAGCATTTGAATTAAATAAATTTAAATGATTATACAATTCATTTTAAAATTAAAAGTTGTATTTTAGTAATTAACATTAGTTAATGCACTAACATGAACAATGAGCAATTGTATTATTACTATTATACTCATTATTGTGCAAATGACTCCAATAAAACCCTACAAAATATGATATTTTAGAGCAAAGAAGATTTTCCTGACATTTTATTGTTCAATGATATTTGCGTGTTCTCCGTGACCGCCGTGACCCGTAACACGCTCTAAATCTCAGCGCGCTGTAACGTTTCTGCTGAGAAACACCGAAAGGCCACGAGAGGATTGATCTTAAGCAGGATTCCAGGAGCTCGTTTTCTCTAATAAACCTCGCTCTGGAGACGCTTTACCTGACCTTACCACGAGCCTGCAGAGAGCAAACACCTCACACACACA